TAAAGATATAGAACTGGAGTTAGCAAACTTCTATTCAGGACCAGAGAGTCGATACTTTAGGCTTTGTAGACCACACGTGATCTCTATGGTATAGTCTTTATTTTGTTTTGTTTCTTTACAATCCTCAAAAATGTAAAAATCATTCTTAGCTCATAGGATGTATAAAAACAGGCTGCAGGTCAGATTTGGAGCACAGGCTATAGTTTGCTGAATCGCCAAATACAAGATCTGAATATCACCACTAACCACCTTGATCTAGTGAGATTTCTAAAGCAACTGTAGAATATACATTCTTCTCATGTGTACATGGAATGGTCACCAACATAGACGGTGTACTGGACCATAAAACAAGTCTCAATACGCTGCAAAAGATAGTACAGAGTATATTCTTGGACCATAGTATTTTTTAAATTAGAAGTCAGTAACTGTACGGTAAGAAAAGCCCTAAATATTTAAAAATTAAATAATATATCTCAAAATAACCCATGGGTCAAAATAGAATTTAAACTGTATATTAGAAAATATTTTGAATTAAATGACAGTGAAAATACAACATATCTAATTTCATAATGTAGCTAAAGTAGTACTTAATGAAATTTATAGCTTTAAATGCTCAAATAAAAAGAGAGAGAATGGTAAAACAGGGTAAATTTAAGTAGTTGGTAGATAAAGGATATATGGGAATTCCTTATACTATTCTTACTTTCTGTAAGTTAAACTTTTAACAAAATAAAAAGCCCCTCCAAACCTCTTTAATTTTATATTCAGCCAAGTTGTTATTCACTTGTGAGACTGGGAAGCAAAAACAGATGTTTAAGATTGGGTCAAGATAGTGGATTACCTCTCTTTCCATCTAAAATAGCAAATACTATGAAGTTCTGTAAAAGCTGGGGTGATATTAGGAAACAAAGTTCACATAACTACTAAAAGATAGAAATCAGTAATGATAACTACTGGGATGAGAGTTGGGGGAAATCAAAGTACTAATTAGAAGAGCAGTAATTAACTAATTAAATAATTTGAGAATCAGAAATTAACTGAAGAGCAGCTTTCAGAGTAGTAGGTTGAGTAGCTTAAACCCTCCTTACCCTAGTCTATACCAAGGAGTATGTTGGAAATTTATTTCCCTCTATACCAGTGGTTCTCAACTTTGCCTGCACATTATGTGGGTAGCTTTAAAAAATACTGAGCCTAAGATTCTGATTAATTGGTCAGAAATGAGGCTTGAGCACCAGACCTATGTTTAGTGTTGGAAATACAGTATAAACAAGAGAGAAATAAACTTGCCTTAAAGTGTTTATTAATGTAGAGTAACTGAGAAGTTTGGTCCTGGTACAGGAATTTTGCAAGTGAAAAAGAATACAGAAATCCATGGGAATTGGTATTCTGAGTGGTCTGTAAGTGGATCATTTAACAAATGAGCATTTGGAAAAAAACAAAATACTGGAATACAACTACCTTCCTTTATAACAAAATACATCCCAATTGGATTAAAGAGTTGAATAAAACATGGAAATAAAAAACTACTAGGAAAAAAACAGGTAGTTTTTTTTCCCTATAATATCAGGTGAGAAAGTCCTGACAAACATGCCACAAAACTGAAACTATGGAAGACATTATTTAAATTTACTGAATAAAAAATTTAAACTTACCTATCAGTAAAGCACAATATTAACCAGTTAGAAATACAGCTACAAAGTTAAGAATATTTACAGTGAATCTGAAAAGTTCCCCCAAATCAATATAAAAACACAATAACTTGCAAATGAGAAAAGGACTTAAGCATGTACCACTTTTACAATGAAAATCTAAAATGTAAAGCAATATTCAGATTACTGTAACACCAGTCTATAAACCAAATGTTATTTTAAGACCCTTACCAAAAAATAAACCATAAAATTTTGACAAATAACGACTTACTTGATTTTGGCCATCTATTTCAGTCTGCAGTTGATAATTAATTTACTTACAAGCTGATAAGCGTTCCTGACTTCTTGCAATCCTGTCCTTTGCAGATTTTGAAGGTATTTTCTTGCTACCATGAATGGTTGTTGTGGAGAGTTCTTTCAGTTTCCAGTGGGTCCAAAAGCCTTTTTGAGGTTTTAAACCTGTTAATACAAAATGTATACTTAGCCAAAGAAATTAAGATTTAAAAATAGCTTTTAATTTATCAAAGCCTTTTTATAAGTATTATACATTTCATTCTCACAACAGTCCTGTGAGGATTGTTGGTCTCAAGTTTCACATGAGGGAATCTCTATATAGAAATGTTAATTTCTTTTCATATAAGAATTAGAAAAGAGATATTTTCGAAAAGAAATAAATAGAAAAGAGATAAACTTGATGTGTATCCTTCTGACACACAGATAAAAGCTAAGTTCATATATGGACAAAAGAAGAGATTAACTATGGTGAAAACTTGGAAAGGACCTAAATATTCAATAATAGTACATTCATATAGTGGATCATGAAATATCCATTGCAAGTTACCTTTTAAGTGTTTGTTAATATATTAAAGCAATCATAATATATTTTTATGTGACGGGCAATATTACCTTACACGTATGTGTGGTTACAGCTTAAATGTTAACATGATTGCCTCTGAGCATAGGTGATTATTGTTTTAAAATTTTTCCTATCTGTATCTCCTATTATTTTTTAAATAATGTTTATGAATCAATTTTAGTACCCTAAAAGTGATAAAAATAAATTTCATTTTAAAAGTCCCACTTTTATCCCAAAAGCTGTGCAGGGTTGAATAATTCATTTAAACCTGCTAAACATTTATAACCTCAGCAACAAAGATGAGAATAATAATTCCTTTGTATACTTCATATGATTATTCTGATGGTTAACTGAGATAATTTGTTAACATTTTCAGTAACAAGTGTTCAACATGGATGAAACTAGCCTATGTTGGAAGGATATGCCTTCACAAACAGACATCTTCAGAGACCAGAAGTGAGCAATGAAGTTTACTCAAGAAAGACCAATTTTGTGCCTGTGTAGATGGGCTTATAATAAAACTGAGATCATCCCACTTTTTGTTAATCCTAGGGTATTAATCAAGTATGTGCTTTAGTCTATGAACAACAAATCCCAGGTTGCTGGGCAACTCTGGGAGGGCTAGGGAGGGCTTGCTGCCTCTAAGTCTTGAGTAAAATTTTCCCTTTTCCTTCTGTGCAACAGTTTTTCATAAATCCAATACTGATGTTTTCGTTTTATTCACCCCCAGGAGGCAATAACCTATTATTCATAAGAGTTCAGACACTGGAGTCTGATAGGCTTAAGTTGAAATCCTGGTTCTGTTACTTAACAGTAACTGGACAAATTACTTAATTCTCTTAACCTTGGTTTTCCCATTTAGAATGGGAACAATAATATATTATTATAAGAGTATAAGGATTTTTGAGGTTTAAATGGGATTTTTAATGTAAAATGTGGATTTCTGTTACTCAGCTGGCTGTTGACTTAATGTGGATTGAACCCTCTTGCTGTAGGTACAAATGGAGACCAGCTGTTGTGTCTAGCTTCTTGCCCAATTCTGAGTCCAGCAAACACTCATCTAGTATAGTTCTGCAGTTCCTTCAGTGTCTACCTATACTCTTGAGTCAGGCTTTGAAGATTGTCTTAATTATCACTTTACTTCTTTGCTTTCAAATGCTTTTAGTGTTTGCCATTTCTTTCTTGTAATTCTTCTATAGAGTAGACACCATTTAGGGCAGAGCCATCTACTTGTTATA